AAAAAAAAAAAAAGGAAAGGTTCAAATGCAATATTTAGAAGCTTCTTATGCTTTAAAATTCCACAGGTTCAGAAACTGTATACAACAACAACCAGCATAGTTTAAAATGTCTATCTATATACTAATTTCAGGTTAACCTGCCACAGGTTATGAAGACCATATGTAGAAACTATTTACTTATATAATAGAGAGAGAATTGTTAAAAAAAAAAAAAAAATGATCCAAGCAAACACAGACAAATGTGTATATTTACCATCTCGAAATATATGAACTGTGCTAGTTTACCTCGACATCCTCGTCAATTTCGCCATCTTTGCTTTCGTCATGTTCAGTAATCTTAACCAAGGCATCTCGATGATCCCTCTTATGTCTCTTGATTTGGCTTTCAGAACCCGTTTCAGCATCCTTGTCCATCTATAGGATTCAAATGTCATACATATAAGGAAGTACAGAAAAAATTATGAATACCAGTTCCAATATTGCATATATACAGCGGGGTTATTATTTACTTAACGAACAAACACCTCCTGTTGAGGAGGCGTAATTTGTCAACTGAAATAAAACTGACAAGAACTACCCTTGAGGGTTGACCGAATAATAACTAAAAAGGATCTTAAAATTACAAAAAAAAAAAAAAAAAATAGAAATAAAAATGAAAACTGTGTTACATATATCTTGCGTAGCACACTTGACATGGGTGGATCATATGCAATTGCACATGAAGAAAATACTTTTATGATATTCAACCTCTTAGACTTTCTAAATACTATAAATAACCAGGGTTAAATAACCAGGGTTTTCACTATATCATCCTTCAAGTTTTTCTACATATTGCACTAATCATAGCCAAGTTGGACTTATTTGTAATATTTCGAAAATCGAGGGATGTTGTAAATATTGAGCAATAACAGCAAACCATCAACTCAACTATCAGTTCGCAGAAAAACTACAAAAAACCCAACCTAAGGGGAAGTTTCCGTACGGTCCCTTGTAATTTTTAAATAGGCTTTTCTTTATTAGACCAGACCTCAAACGGAATTTTTTTGTTAATTAGCCCATTTCTTCGCAGGTAACATACAGGTTTTCATATTCAACACGTCCCACAAGAGCTCGATAATGAAACAGTACCTGTTTAGACCTTTTGGAATCTACACTCTGCCTACGAGACCTCGATCGTTCTTTATCATCATCATCATCAAAACTCGTGTCATCTAAGGTCCGCACGTGCTTCCTGTGGTGCCTTCTACTACTTCTCTCCCTTGACCTTTTACTGTCTTCCAAATCGTGGGACCCGGACCCATCACTATCAGTTTCATCTGTCTTGTGTCTCTCTCTCTCCTTTCTCCTCTCGTGGCTTCCCCTGTCTTTATTCCTCCTATCCTTTTCTTTCTTCTCACGACGACTTCTCTCTCTTTCCTTCTTAGCCTGCAAAAGTAGGGGGAAGAAGCTTTACATGGTTTATGGAATTCAAGTTAAAGTTTTTTTATTTCCTTTTTTGAAGAGTAAATCTGCTCTTTTATTTATTAATTTTCTTTTGTTAGTGTGGCGTGTATGTGATGACCTAATCCTTGAGGGTATGTTATGTAATTTTTAATCATGGAACATTAGGTAGCTTTGCTGAGGAAGTTTGAAATATCAGTTCATGGATATCATATCAGGTTTCTCGTCTTAACTAGCATATAGATAAACACAGTATTCATGAACTAAATTTTTCTACCTTTTCCTCTTTACGCCTCCTCTCCTTCTCTTTTGCCTTCTCTTTGAGTTCGAGAATGAACTTATCAAATATGTCCCGGAAAAAGCTTTCTTGCCCGTTGAACCTGTCCACAAGCAAAACTCGATACGTAAATCTCGAGCAAGTATAAAAGTCATTTTTCTAATTAAATGAGACTTTCATAAAGGAGAAATAGAAAGGATTAGCATATGATAATAGTATCTTTGAAGCAAAATGATCAGTTAAAACCAATTACCTCCCTTCAATAAGTGATTTGCAGTCCTCCCACTTTGAAGATGAAGATATTTCCTGTTTACAAGAGGCCGAATAATAAAGGGACAAGAAAAAACATCTAAACAAAATAACATTTAAATCATAGATAATCTACACTCTGCGGACTACCTTTAAAGAAAAAAGGAAAGCATGGACATTTTCAGCTAATCGTTTGCGCTTCATAGCTTCCTTTTCTTCTTTCCCCTTGGTAATTACTAGTAATTCATCAAGTACAAGCTGCAAATAAAGGTCAGATTTTACAAAGGTCAACAAGCAGTCAACAAAAAAGATAAAAAGAAAAGAAAACATAAAAGAATAGATATCATGATGGAGACAGAAAAAGAAAAACAAAACCATCTCTATATTTTATAAAAGCGAAAATGTTTGAGAAGCATAGTTTTTCCATCAGGAGAACTGACCATTAATTAAGAGGAAAGCATACCTTTAAGGTGACATCTGATATTGGTTTTGTGCTAGTATTTTTTGAAAGTGAAAGTGCACTCTTGAAATCTTCAAGACTCCAAGTCGTTAACAAGGATATTTTTTTGTTCTTTATAGCTTCTTCGATGCTCTCCTTATCCTCCAAAAACTGCAATTAAAAGATCAATAAACAATCGTCCGCATCGAGTCACAAAGAAAAAAAGGAAGATAGTTATTATAGTGGTTTCCAACTTCATTGTTTCAAATGTTTGACCCACAAAAGAGATCAAGAATTTCAAGATCTGCTCGAACTTTCATTTTCTTCGAGAATCAAAAGATCAGCTTGTAAGGAAAAGAAAAAGATATATAAGAAACTGATTCCAAAGGAGCAATAGGATTTCAACTACCTGTTTCTCAAGGTCCTCTACAACATCATCAAAGAGATCTTTTGCAGTAGATCCTGAGGTATTCGAAGATACAGCCACATACGCAGGATTATCTTTAACCTAAAAAACAGTCAAATTTCAAAACTATGAAAATGACAAAAATATTTTGAACAGAACAAGCTTACAAAAATAAAAAACAAGAACCTTCGTGGAGTAGTCTCGCCAAAGAGTTTGGTGGGTAAGAATGCCACTCGCAGCATGTTCTTCCATCAGCTTCCGAAATTCATCACGATTTTTACGTTCTATTTTCCTCAATTCCTCCTAATTTCAGTCATAGTGCATTGCGTAAACACAGGGAATATATGCTCAAAAAATAGACAAGCAATAAGGCATATATCAAAGAGCAGCTTACGATTTGTAATTTTCTGTCTTCTTCTTCGTGCATTTCTAATTCACGTATGTATTCCTGAAACATGCCAGATCAAATTTAGTTAATCCCAATCCTGTTTAACTTTCTCAAGCTAGAAAAGCTTTGATCTCGAGTTCTATAGAGATATAAAAGTGGTAATTGTTGTAGTTTGGACTAATTATTTAACAAAATCAATTGAATTTTGTTAATTTACAAATGTGCACCTTACAACGGCTGAGATGGGGGCTACTTTTTATGCAAAGACAAAGGTCAAGTGCTTATTTGTACTTTCAAAAGGACAAGCAGTTTCTCTTTAATCTAACCTGATTAAATTGAACCACAGGGGTAAATTTGTAATCAAACATCACCTGGAAAATTTCCAAGCATTCCATTTTCTCAAGGCGTGAGCATCTTTCATCCCCTTCTAAGCGGTGTTGAACTTTACGCCATTGACTGCTCGCCTGGGTAAATAAGGTAAATAAGCATGCAGCAAGGACATAAAAAATATTACAGGATTCGTAGAAATACAAAAGACAGACAAACATGCCTTGATAAAGTCGCAAGATTTTAGAAACTCCAAATATTCTGCTTTATGACGCTTGTGCTCCTCCAACGCCTTTGCCCGTTCCTAATCAGGACAGAATATATTATATTAGCAAAAAGAGCCATAGGTTTTATTTGCAGCTTTTTGTATATATCAACAGCGATCATAACAGACAGCACGATACAATTAGAACAGAAGTAGTACTTTACCATTTTCTTAAGCTCCTCTAAATGGTCTTTGAACAGGTCCTCACGGTCAATAACTCGTTCGACAGCTTGAAAACGTTCGTCGTTTTCAAACATAATTACTGCTTGGCTGCAAGAAGTCCATCAAGAATAAAAACAAAGGCAACACGATAAAAATGAAAGGCGGCGAACAAAATTGCACTGTCCAAGCAAGTTTGTGTGTTTCACAAAAACAAGTTGCACAAACCTCCATTTTGTTGATGATGTCAGCTCCATAGATTCCTGGGCACATTAGAGACCAGAGTAATTTGAGGAGTGACATCTTCTGAAGTTTTTAAGATATGTAATTTGTGATCCATTTAACATTAAAATGCAGCAAAAAATTAATGTACCCGTAACATTGTCATAAAATCTTCTCTAGATTTCTTGTTTCTGGCACGTTTCTCTTCAGCTTCCTGTTTTTTCTTCTGTCCCACAAACTGAAACACAGAATTCAAAGGAAAAAAGTTGATAATACTATTAAGAAAAGCAGAAAGTAAATGTAGCAATTATTCACAATGACATAACAGAGAACATTCAAGTTTTAAAACAATAGTAGGCATCACATGTACCTCATTGAAAGCTTGCTTTCTCTCTCCAAGGGTTCTGAGGGCACCATACCTCCGGTCATTTATTATGACTTTCATGGCCTGCTTATAAATTGTTGCTTACATAGATTTTCCAACTAAAATCCTTTATAATTTAACACAAAAAGCAACAGACCTGGTCCCAGTTCCAGTCAGATGCAACGTTTGCTGATTCCAAGAGAGCTTTAAAAGCATTCTTAGCCTCCTATAAGAAACAAAAATAAAATAGACAGAAACTTAAAGAGGGACAAAGGGGAATAAAGACTGAAAGAGAGAGATCATGACACTAATATACAGATATTCAGAAATACCTCTTTACTCTCATAGACTAAAGGCCCCTGATCTACTTTTTTCTCTTCTAGCGCGTTATTGTCAGCGCCTCCAGGTACTTCTGAACTTTTATCAGCTTCCTGCAGACGAATAGTTTAAATAGTTTACATTCTCCTAAAATGCCTTTCATAGAAAGCCGTTTTTATGCCATAGAAGATGAAAAAGTACTTGAAATGGTTAAAGAGGCCACGTATGTACCTCAATGCTCCCCGTAGAGTTTCTCACAGAAGATGGTCGGGCTTCTTGAGGTGACACGTCAGATATTCTCCTAAAAAGGTATACATATGCAATTCATAGTTATGAAACTCACAACACGATACTTATGAACCAACATAAATTAATTTATAAAAGAAAATGGCATACATTGGTGTAGTTATAGGTACCGGTGTGCCCGACTTGACCAGTGAGTAGGTGGTTTCCCTTGGAGTTTTCATTTCGCTTGTATCTGGTTTTGAGTTATCAACCTCATCCCGCGTGCTCGATGATCCATCTTGATTACCACTAGGTGTCACCGAAACTGGGCTTGACGCCATTTCTGGGGGCGACAAAAATGAGTTATTTCTAACCGAGGCTAATGCTTCCAGGCCAGATGAATTTACATCATTTCCTGCTGGTATTCCTTCACATGGGGCCGCATTCAATCGCTCACGAGCCAACTACAAAGAATATTTATGCGAACTAAGAAAAGCCAGGGCCATAACTGTTTAATACTTTGTTTGTAAGATTAAAGTACCTTGACTACGTCAGGGATAAGCCACTTAGATTGTTTGGTGACCTTGTTATGGTAAAACCTGTAGAAATAAAAGATTCAACATAAACTTTGTGCAGATGAACTAGACATTTGATCTTTTAAACTGCAAGAGAGGGAAATTTAATAAATACCTTCTTCCATCAGGAGCAATAAATTCTCGCCAGTCTGTCGATGCATCAGCCCTCTAAACAAAATAAACACTTGATTAGGCAGCATCAAACTTTCTAGATTTGGGTAAGAAGAAAAAGATTTTTACGTTCACATAATATTTTTTTGCATTTACTTTTGGCAAGTTAAGAGACTTTGCAAAGACAGTTGCATAAAAGAAAACACGGTCAAGGATTAGCTAGTGCCAGACGAGAAAAATATATGCATAATAGAGGTATTATCATATCATAAGCACACATCAATTTGGGACCCACCTCAGTTGGCGACATCAACTCGAAAGGCTTCTCCCATGAAGAAATCTTTGTCCTTTTGTTGTAATAATATCTGCATATTAAAGACGATGTTATCTAACTGTAACTATTAAGAGAGAGAGACAGAGAGAAAAAAACCAGAAACAGAAACAGAAAAGGTAATCATCGAAATATAACTTTCACATCACAAATAAACACTAAAAAAAGTCGCATACTTTTTTCCCTCGCGTGTAGTATGCTCTTTCCAATCTGATGGAACTTTTATGGCTAGGTCTGGTGAAGTATTCTTCCCCTGTAATCAAAAGAAACATTTAGAATCTCATATTTAGAATAAAGTATCATAACAGAACGGAAAAGACACTTAACAGAAGAAAATAAATAGATCGATCAATCAATACTCTCGTTAGACAGACCATGGCAGCAATTTTTTCCCCAGTCTGGCGAGAATCACATAATTCCGCTTTCTGATCTCCACCAGGTAGCCATTGTTGTGTCCCAGCATGATTTTGCTCCCCACTCTGCTGCATTGGAGTCACGGGCTTTATACTTTGGGGTCCACTTGATAACCATGCTTGTTCTCCACCGCTTTGTTCCGCAACTAGTGGCACGGACATAACAGACTGCACATTTTGATTCCCTGTAGAAAACCAAGGTTGTCCGAAATTGGAGGCATCTGTCTGTGGCAGTGGCAGTTGCTGGGCTATTGGGACCACATTCATTTGTTGTTGGCCACCAGATGATGATAACACCTGATATTTTTTTAAAGACACGGGAAATAAAAGTATAAGTGGAGATGAATGATCAACTTGCTACATCCACCAATTTTAAACAAGGGATGACTTCAGAAGCACGCTCCTTGAGGTAGCAGAATCATAATGACCGAAGGAAAAAATAAATAAATAAATAAATAACAATAAATTGAAATGAAAATTTTCAGAACACCACCTTGATGTTGCATCCTAGTTACAATTTACCTGCTTTTAAGAGTGAACTAAAACACCACTGTTTCTCTTGGGTTTCATCTCTAGCCTACCCCAACTTGTTTGGGACTAAGCTTTGTTGTTGTTGTTGTAAGAGTGAACTAAAATTCATTAAGGCTTTATCAAACACTTGTAGAACTACATACAAATAATCCCAACTTGTCTTCGTTTTGCATTTTACATAATCCATATACATCCTACAACTTTTTCAAATGTTACAAACAGCTCTTTATGAAATTCTGAAATGTTCAGAGGGTATATAAGTAGATTGGCTGCTGGTGCTAGAAACTTCCGTCAAGTCAACTTACAGCCGGGGTAAAATGTAAGACAGAATCTAATAAGGACAGTAATAGTAGTTTTGAAAGTTAGCAGTTCCGTTGTCTATCTTTTTTTCCATTTCTGAGTCTAATATATAATCGAGATTGAGATTATCCCTATGAACAACTAATAAGTTACTTACAGTGTACGTAACATGAGAAGTCCCGGGAGTTCCATAACTAGGCACAAAATTATTAGACATTTGCTGCTGTACGTGAGCTGACATCATGGGTCGGGCCGATTGGAAATCTGGCTGCGGGAGTGACGGGCCTTGACCCGGCCCGGGCCTTTGATGAGGCGGTGGATGTAATTGCTGAGGTGGCAATGCTTGAGGATACTGGGGATGAGGTGGAATCCCCATGTTTGAATGTCCGCCTGTCTGAAACTGTGGGGGAGCCACCGGAACAAACGACGGCGGTGGTGGTAGAACCACAGGTCGAAACTGAAAAATACAAAAAGCATGCTTAGTAAGTATTGTAAGTACAATAATTACTGTAATAACTTTCAAACGCCTAGGTTGAAACAAAGAAACTGGAAGAACTTACTTGCATTGACATAGGAGGTGTGGGATTTGGAGGGGGACCCACATGGCCGATTATAGGAGGTCGAACAGGCTTTTCTCCCATATACAAGAAAATAGAGAAATATAAGATGCAAGAAAATAGATAAATATGAAGCAAGTATAAGACCATTCAGAAATAAAATACATTCTAGAAACATGCATCGAAAAATGGAGAAATCTAATTATTAAGCCACACAACACTAAAAATTGAAGCAATTTCATCAAGTCCAATTATTCGCTAGATTACACCTGAAGCATTAAATGTGCATCTATCCTCTACCATGTTAAGAGGATTATCAAAGCACATTTGAGATTACTAACCAAACGGATAAAAAGGTAAATTATTATAAGATATGTTTTATCAAGACAAGACACTTGCAAAAAATGCATCAAAGTAAGGCATTCGCCAGAAACCATTTTCAAGCATTTCAGAAGCAAGCACTAAACCTTTACTATGTTTGTGACCTTATACAGTATAAGTAGTGAAATATTCTCATTTTCAAATAGTCAAATATCAAAGAAATTCCTCCTCAAAAAATGAATATTACAGATATATGCAAAACCACAAAAGCATACTCAGCTTTCCAGAAGCTATCTGTTCCAACCAAAGCGGGAATGGTTTAGGGTCGACCAACCAACAAGTATAGTAACAAAGGAACAAATATCTCCTGCACATTAAGAGCTCAAACCTAACGCAACTAACAAATATGTCCCCCTATACAAGTAGCTCTCTTCCATTCTCATCGTACATTTTCCTCTACCACGTGCTAAAGAACTAACAGCAGCCAACTTAACGAGAAAAATCAGTTAGAATATTTTCATAGCATCTTAAACCAGTACCTGGATGCCGGAGGACGGGGGATTATTGGCCATTTCTGGAAAATGACTGATTTCTGAAACAACCACGGAAAACAATAATCATCAGAGTGAACACTGATTTCTGAAACAACCACGAAACAACCACTAATGGTTAGTAAACATTATGTTGAAACAAAAGAATATGGGAATAGCCACAAAACAAACCAGTTCAATTTAAATTTACCAAAACAGTAAGAAATAGCAAGAATTTGACATGTAGAGCAACGATTAACTAAGATTAAGTTACACCATCAGTTAGCACTTCAATAACTGCACTCCAACCGGACTTATTTCTATAAGTGAAACATAACATATTTTCCTCATGATTAATACCAAATCATATAATAAAGGAACCATCCATTTATGTCCAAATATTACAACATGTATGAGAGTTGATGACAAAGAAGACCGCGAACAAACAATTTATTAATAAACTGCAAAGCCAGAAATAGAATATGAGACTATGAAGAACGATTAAGCAACCACAAGAACTTGCTTTTAACATTTAAATCAGTTGCCGAATTTAGCATAGAGAACTCCATGATTTACCCACATAAGTATCTGGAAAAAAATAAAACCTAAACACCAGAATGTGCAAATCATGTCGAAATGAAATAAGAGAATCAAAGTTGTGACTTTTTATGTGATATAATCACACCAATGCATCCACATAACTAAATGAATCAGATACTACTTTCTTATTTAAAGAAAAGATCTATACTTGCACAAATTCTTTTAACCTTCTAGATAACCTCAATTGCATTAAAGATGGTTCCTGAAAATCAAGAATTCGGACAAGACCCGACAACAAGTGACATATCATTGATCAACAGTTAAGCCCAACAGAACCAATCACCAAAAAGAAACTGCCATTTTTTAAATAAAACCCTAAAGAACATCACAAGCACTGAGACATTGAAACAACACTTGAACCAATTCGAGTCCAATTCTATAACTCAATTCCAGTAAAGATCAAACCAAATTTCAATCAGCAAACCAATTAAAATGACTAGAAAAACAAACGGCCGGGTCTTTGCATTCAAGAAAACAATTGAATCCTGAAAAGGCCCCATCAAGAATTCAACCTCATCAAGAATTCAACCTCAACTCATCGACAGAGCCAAAACCGTAATTACCATACATTTAGCCTAACAACAAATGAAAATAATTAAAAGCGAGCAAAAAACAGAGAAAGTACAAGTCTTGAACCGATTTACATTGGGACACAGCTGCCCGTTTTGGCAAATGCGGACTCTGAACGCTCTATAATCTCTACGTCACAACACAATGAACAAGAAAGCAGTGCACAATTATAATTCAGGGAACGGACAGGAGGAATTAGGACTGAAAATTAAACAAAATTAACGAACGAACAAAATCAAAAGGGTTTATATGATGGACAATTTTGAGGGCATATATATAACATGAGGAGGACAACGAGTTTATACAGAATGGGGTTTAGGGGATATTGTCGATATGAGACGGCTTATTCTTTATTTTGGAGAATTGGATGAGACGAAATCGAAATACGCTCACACAGTCGTAATTTAGGGACAAAAATCGACGACGTAAAATTTCATGAATCTCCGGTTTCGATTTTCAGAATTGGGTACGGACGGCCACATTTTCTGGCTTTTGGCGCTTACTTTGTACAGGCAAGGAGAGGAGGGGCTTTATTCTTGCTCTTTTTTTTTTTTTCTAAAAAGGGGGATCAATACTAGTTCCCCAATTCCCCCAATGACTCGAACTCGAGACATGGTACACGCCGAGCGAAGGTACGCGCCACTACGCTAATCCCTCTTCGTCATTCTTGCTCTTTTTTTTCTACTCACATCTCTTGCGCGAGTTGAGATGTATAAAAAAAATTACTTTATTTGGTTAATTAAAATTTATTATTACAATTATAAATGAAAATAAACATATTTTATTGCATTTCAATTTTTTTTTATAATCTATAGTAATATAAAGAGGTTGTTGAATACAAATATAGTATGTTTGACTTAAAAAAATAATACTTTGACTTACTACTTTAACTAATATTTACTACTTTAAAAAATAAACATGTCGGTCCTACACGTTAAATTAATTAACATAAAATTAAGGAATAACATAAATACATGCGGATTATTTGCAAAATTAATTTGGATTTGATTAATCAATACAACCGAATTTTTTTCGCTTAATCCATGCAATAGCTTTGCAAAATTAATTTCGATTTCATTAACCAATATAATCGGAATTTGTTCGCTTAATCCATGCAGATTCACCATTAGCAATTTTGTTAACCCTTCCGTTTCCAAAACAAATCCCATTTTCTCTCGCGACGAAGAACGAAGACGAAAACCTAATCTTCACAACTCTTGATTTTCCGACGAATCCACCTTCCTCGGTGACGGTAAAGCTCGACTAGGGGTCGTCTTCAACCGTCCGCGGCCCCACTGTCGACAAACGCCCCTTTTTTTGCTCCAGTTTGTCCATTGACGGGGCGGCAGATATGTGGTTGCAAATGGAGTTCCGAACGGCGACGGCGCACCTCGAGGTTGAAGCAAGGCTGGTGATTGGAATCCTCTTTTCAGTCATCGGTGTAGCCGCGATTTGCAACGGTAAGCCCTGTTTCTCTACTCTCTGTCTGCGAGCGTCGGATTTGGTTTTCTCCAGCGGTGCTTCACTTTTTATGTTGGGGCCGGGCCGATTGTCTTTGGTTTCCTGCGGTGGTGCTGGGTGGTGTTCGTTTCGTCGGGGGGGCGGGACCCTGGTTACCGCGTCGCTCCTTGTCGCGGTGGTTGGGGAAGGACTATTCTTTCTTGCTCAATTCCCCGGTTGACTAATGGTGTTAGGCGGCGGGGGAGGTCCTATCGGCCTCGTCTAGTGGTGTTAGAAGAGTTCAAATGGATTCGAAGTGGGATGGACTATGGCCCTCTCGGTTTTCGATGGGTTGATTCGGGGACTAGTTCGGGTTTTGGGTTCCGCTGTTGTATAGGCTTGATTGCAGTTTCGGTAGCTGATGCTTGGCCTGGATTGGTCTTGTGTCAATCGTTCACTACTGGCCCAGCCTTTCTCGTTCGCTGGGGAAGGGCTATTAGATTTATTTAGTTTTTGTATTTTTGTGTTCCTGTTTTAGTTTCATAATTGTGTTGTGCGTGTTCTGTGTCTTTGGTTTGGGCCGTTGGCCCCTGAGCCCGAGTGTCAAACTTACACCCGAGTGTCACCTTATTACCCTGTTGGGGTCCAACACTCGGGTATTACTCTGTTGGGGTCCGACACTCGAGTAGTTGTTTTAGTTGTTTGTGTTGTTGGTTAGTTTAGTTGCAAGAGTTTTTTATTCTAGCGTTGCTAGCCAGGATTCTAGGCGGTCTTCTGACCTGTCCTCCCACTTTTTCAGCTATTGGCTGTTGTGTATTCAGTCGTTGGCTGCTGTGTATTCGAACATTTGTGCATTTTAATTTATAATATTATCTATCGTTTTGGGGGAAAAAATCCATGCAGATTCAATGCAAAATTATTTCTGATTTGATTAACCAATATAACCTGATTTTCTGCGCTTAATCCATGCGAAATCTTTGCAAAATTAATTTCGATTTGATTAACCCATGTAATCGGAATTTGTTCGCTTAAAATACACCATAAGTAATTAATATGTATCTCTTAAAAAAATTGATAGGATTTTTTTAACTAATTTCAGTTGATTCTGTGTCAAACTATTTTGGAAGTGTTAAAATTTTTTAAATTTTAACACCAATCTAAACGGATTTTGTGAAATTTTATATGTTTCCAATTTTCACAATACTACAAGATTTTGAAGATAATGATTATTGAAATTGCCCGTGAAAAACTGAATAATGGTCCGTGTAGATTTGAAAATCCCACAAATTTTTGAGTTACTATAGATTGCATTGAAATTGTCCACATATTTTTGCAAACTCATCGTAGTAGTAAGGTAAGTAAATCCGAATGAATCCGACGGGATATTAGTAATATCATAATAAAAAAAAAAAAATCGGATACGATCCATTAAATAAAAAAGATTATTATTATTACAAGACAAGATGTGAAATTTTTTATATCACCGTCTATGACTATGTAAGCATCACATACTTTGAACAACAGATATTCGATCATACATCTCGCAATACAAGTTTTTCACATAGCTTTTACAACATCATTCAAAATGCCTTTGAATTTGGACTCATCAAGGATATCCGAAGATCCAATAAGCCACCTATCAAGCTACACATTATTGGGATGTTCCAAAGAGTTGAAGACGTACGCAATTACCGAAATGGTCTTGAGATTATCTTTCACGATTCGGAGGTAATATATTCACACATTCATAATGCATTTAAATTTAAATCTATAGATTGTGTTTATTAAATTATTCAATATGTATTGTCTTAGGGATTACAAATTACTGGCATAATTCGACCTGTGAATATTCAAAAATTCATCGACAATATTGAAGAAGGTGGTAAGTATGTCTTGACAACCTATCAAGTTGAAAGCAATATTGGCATCTATAAATCAACGATGGAAAAATGGAGGATCATTATCTATGGCCAAACCAAGATTGTCTAATGGAAGGGGGATTTTTCTATACATCGTTTCGAGTTTAGAAACTTCCTAACTTTGATGGATGTTCGTAAGTTTGAAGAAGCCATCTTGTTTGGTCCATTATAATTTTATTGTTTATGTTCTATTTCTATATTTTTTTAATTACATTTAAATTCGGTAATTTACTATATTATTTTACATGTTAAATTTTGAATACTAGTACAGTGCTCGTGCGATGTACGAGGCTTTATTATTTCTTTCCTTTTTAAAAGACAATTGTATATTCAAATTAAAATTGTATAATAAAGGAGCGATCATGACATTATTAAATATAATGAAAATGAAATATCTATATTATTGAACACTTCTTTATATATACAATTATTAGATACAATGATAGAAAAATATATGAATATATAATGCTAAGACTCTAAATCCATAATTGAGAAGACGATCATTTGGGTTGG